CATTGGAAGTGCATTGGAAAAGAGTTTTGCACAAACAAGGAGCCCAGGGATGCCTCTTTTTGGAAAATGTTTTTCTACATGATGGTTAATTACCATATAGAAAAAGATGTAAATTTGGTCATGCATATTGCAAAATGGCACTATGTAGAAGAATTCTCCACCATGTGCAACTATGGAGCAGAACAAACAACTCCACATATGTATGCTTGTTCACAATGCCCTGCCTCATGTACGGAGGAAGAATTGTTTAAAGCTACAGACAATGTGGTCACTGTTGCCCGTTTTTGGTCAAAAATTATTTAACCGCATGTATTCCCTGTATATTCATCAGTTTTATACTTATTTATATAATGCTTTTGACACAAAATAAATAAATATAAATTATGTGATTAATGTTGACCAAAGTAATGTCATTTAATGGCTTTACATGAGTCTACACTGACCATATAATGCAATTTTAAACTGCATTGTGATGACAGTGTAGATGGGGCAGAGTTATAGAAACCTGAGAGAATTAAGGTTTCTGAAGGGATACACTGTCATAGATTCCACAGCAGCTTTAGATATCACCATACCCAAATTATAATGGCTATGTAATAAATACAAATTGTAATAAATACAGTGGAACCTCAACTTAAGAGCAACCCAACTTAAAAGCATTTGAGTTGAGAGTAATCACCCAACCCAGATTTCACTTTGACATACTAGCAGCATTTTGAGTTAAGTGCTAGTGTCAGACTAGAGGGCTTTAGGAATGACATGGAAAGGAAGCTGCCTCTGTGCCTCGTGCTCTTGTCGCTTTGGGAGATTGCTGTCTGCGTTCCTCTTGTCCATTTTGAGGGACATTGGGTTAGTTGATTTTGTGTGGTTTTTATTCCTGATGTGTTTGGCTTCATGAAGAAGGAAAGGGAGAGAAAGCAAGATAAAGAGGGGGGCTGGAATAAGTACAGTATAAAGAAAATGATGCTTCAGCTTCTTGGCTTTGTGCTTTGTGCTTCCTTGCCACAACTTTGTGCTACTACCATTTTAAAGTTGACCTTTCTTTCTTATTGTTCCATGTGAATGTGTATTTATTCATTGTTTGTTATTTATAAAGTACATTTTCTTATTTAAAAACATGTAACAAAAATGAGGGGGGGGGGTGTTTTGAAGGGCGGAACCAATTATTAGCATTTCAATAGGAAATTTGCTTTGAGATAAGAGCAATTTGGATTAAGAGGTCACTCATGGAACAAACTGCATTTATGAGTCTACACTGTTAACTCAAGGTTTGTTTGTTTGGTTGCAAGTCACTTCTGGTTATGAGAGAATCAGCTGTTTACAACGACGTTGCCCAGGGGACACCCAGCTGCGTTACGATCCTGCGGGGAGGCTTCTCTCATGTCCCGGCCCATCCCCTATTTGGATATCAGCCAGCATGCCAAAACCTTAAATCAATAAATAGTTTTCTAAGATCTGCAGAGATACTTGCAGGAACCCCTCAGCAAGCAAGAGTCCAAAAGTGGCAGGTTAAAACTCAGAACCTTAAGCCATGGCTGATACCGAATTAGAGACTCCCTGCTGGGCACACAGAAGACTTGGTGACTTGGAAGGCACTGAACAGACTGCACTCTAGTACCATGAGATGCAGTGCCAACCTTAAGAAATGGGGCCACAAAGTGGAGTCCACAACATGTGAATGTGGAAAAGAGCAAACCACAGACTACCTATTACAATGCAATCTGAGACCTTTCACATGCAAAATGAAGACCTTCTCATAGCAACACCAGAGGCACTCCAAGTGGCAAGCTACTGGTCAAAGAACATTTAGTATAATGCCAAGTTTTTAAACATTGTGTTTTTAAAAACATTACAACTGTGCCCTCGATTAGCTTCTGACAGGATTAATGAATAAACTCAAGGTATCACTGTGTTTGTCTGCAGCTGCTTACTACAGCATTAATTTAATATTTGCCCTAGTTTCCTGTGCCTTCTCTACTCAAATCTAAGGGATGACTAGGCCTCTTACATGTATAGTCATATGATCTGAAGCAGAGGTAAGCCCAAGTCTTCGTCAATTTATGGTTCATGGCACTTTAAAAAAGTAATATCTCTTAAGTTTATTTTCTGTGCATCAAATAAGAACTTCTTCAGAGGAGTATTTTCAATGGCCATTTCTCACATGTGGAATTCTTTCTCCCTGATTTGAACATCACTCAGCAATGCATCACTCTTATTTGAGTTGGCTTCAGCTGCTCAAGTATCTGGCAGCATGAAGGAACCATTTTCATATTTTGTTTCAGGGATAGTCACTCATTCTTCTGCAGTAAAGCTTTGGGTGGTCTTTGGGAACTGCTGTATAATGCCTTCTTTACAAGAGCTTGGAAATGTTAATTTTTTGGACTACAATCCCAGCATTCCCAAACTAGGTATCCAAAACAAGTAATGTTTCCAAGCTTTACTCCTCTGCTGGATTTCTACCACTTGGTGCTATATTGGGGAAAAGTTCTGTATCTGAAACCAAAGAAAAGTTTGAAGATCAGACTCAACCAGCTTGTGCAGCCACTTAAAAAATATTCAGTGCAAGGTTGGGGATATTCCTCTGAAATTGTCCTTTCTAAATCAAGGGAAATCCAGACAGAGAAGAAAAAGTCAGAGCTGTCCACCCAGGATATTGTCCTCATAGTTGCATAGATAGATACATCCATAAGATATTTTTTCCCAAGGGAAAAAGGACCAGTTAACTCTATGAAACACAACTTCGTAAGAAAGGCAATTCATATATTTCAACTACTGGTAGAATTCAGGCCACATCATATCTTCCAGGGAACAGATGGTAGGGTTTTTTTTTGTTTTTTTTGTTTTTTGGTCGAATGTTACATTGAAGCCTTTCTATACAATCCAACTTTGTGTGTGCATCAGAAGAGTTGAATTCTAGGAAACTAGATATACAGTCACCTTGGTCATTGACCAATAGTTTTGACTGATGGACTTGGAACTGGAGTTCAATGTCTGCAAGACCACAGGTTGATTGCCCTACAGTAAGTTTCACATTGCAGTGGTGGACAAACTGTGCCCTTCCAATCATTGTTGGACTGCAGTGTCTTTAATACCAAGCAGCAGAACTAATGTTGAAGGATGATGAGAGCTGCAGTTTAACAACATCTGCAGCCATGCATTTTCCATGCCTTGTGGGATAAGAATGTCTTATGCCTTTAAAAAAAAGGGGGAGGAAGAATTAAGCAGAGGTTCCAGAAAAGGCCATATTCTGTAGCCAGAACCATTTCCAGGACAGAACTGAACCTAAGTGTGGTGCCTGCCTACTCTGTGCCAAAACTTCCTTTTCTAAGTACCAGTTTGAAAAGCAGACTTTCTCTTCTACTGCCACTGTAGGCTAGTGAGTAGTTAATTCAGAGGGATACTATGACAAATTGGAATCCATGTAATTCATCAAGCAGCTTACAGAAATCAGCTTAAGCCATGTGAAGAAACAGCAACCAGCTAAAATCTAGAGAAGATTCAAGTTGGGGAGGAAATGCTATAGTTCTGCTTAGAAGATGGTTGATACTAATCTCTCACGTGTAGCTGCTATAAGTGGCTTAGAACCCAGCAGCACACAATACTTTTCCTAATACATTTCTATATTTTTTGTCTAAGAAAGGTGTATGGGATGGTGGTGAAGGTACACAGTTCTTCAAATATGTTTGCTTCAGTACAAACCTGGGAAGCTGACACATGCACAGTTGGAATTCCTGCCTGTGTTATCTGAAAGCAGGCTAGCCATTTGCAAACATGCAGTCCTCTTCCATGTACTTTTTCTATAAAAACTGTTAGATTTAAGATACAAAGGGATGTGTTATATAGAAAAAAATCCATGGCAACAAGCATTCTCCTCCAGTGCTCTCAGGCCTGCCAGAGAAATTCACAGGACGTTGATGGCGACCTTGAGGTATTAAATCTGAGATGTTGCTCTTTTACATTGCAGTGTCAGAGCTGGCACCAGTACAAAGTACACATTGAATCACATGGAACCTGATAAATAGTGGGTGGATTTGAAGTAGAATCAGTTTTAGCTGTGTGCTTTTTCTAACGTTAATAACATTATGTTATTTATCAGAGCACAACTGAAACAATTTTGCTTCTCCTTAAAGACTTCCCTTTCTGCTGCTGTTTCAGGAAATGTGCACAAACATGTTTAGGAAGACAGACCGGTAACCTGAGGCCAAGAGAATTTGGCTGATGTTTCCTGCTTTATTGCTCTGATCTATCAGAGTATTAAATTGTAAGAAAAGTAGCCTAACATAGGAACTATTGGTTTATGAACCAACCTATTGCCTGTGTTCCTTTTATATCCAGAGTATAAATTGATAATGTTGTCAACTTGTTGTTGTTGTTGTTGTTGTTGTTGAGTGTACCTTCAAGTTCTTTCCCAGGTATGGTGACCCTAAGGCAAACCTATTGGAAGATCATCTGGAGCTGAAAATGTGTCTCACCCAAGGTCACTCAGTGGGTTTCCAGGGCCAAGTAGGGAATTGAATGCTGGTTTCCAGAATTGCTACCCAATGCTCAAACCACACTGTCATGCATATTACTTTATGTCAGTGGTTCCCAACCTTTTTTTTGACCAGAGACCACTTGACCATGGACCACTTTGACCAGAGACCACTTTGACCTGGAACTACTCTCCAACATTATTACCAAAAGTGTTTCGAATCAGTTTTTTGGTGAACTTTAGATTTGGTTTGGGGTGCTGATTCAGAAAATTGCATTGGATAGACCACATCAGCTCTAGTTTCTGATACAGATCATACGCCATGGTCAGCGACAGGGAAGGAGTGGCAAGCAGAGCAAAAGGAGCAGAAATAAAATAAAATAAATAAAATAAAATAAAGAGGGAGGCTTGCGGACCGAATTTTCATTCTCGCAGCCCACTGGTCCCAAGAACTACTGCTCTAGTTCTGTCCCCCTGAAAAAACATATCTCCATGCTTCATTCATCTTCATTATTTTTTATTCTGAAGATTCTAGTTCAGTACCACCATCCCGGTTTCCCCCTCTCCCTCAGCACTGCTATCATCATCAAGTACACTCAGAGGTCTTTCAGTGTTATTATCCATCCAGAAGTGCCTGTGGTTCAGTCTGAGTTGCTTGCTCCCTCCTATTTCCAGCTACTGGGGCTTGGCTGGGATGTTTCTCTTGCTGTGGAAACTCACTTGTAATCTTGGACTCAGCCTCAGTTTCCTTGGGATTCAGAATATCCCTGGCTAACTCTTCAATGTTTTTCAAACTCAACAAGCCAAGGCTTCTGTAGTAGTCATTCAAGACTCTTTCAAGGACCTTTATGGCATCAGAGGTTTTGAAGTGGTTCTCCAGGACTTGGGAGAGCTGATACCACACAGAATGGGCCTGGGCAAAGGTGGGTTTTGAGGGCTCTTTCAGAGGTGTTAGCTCAGGTTTTTTAATGGCAAGATAGAGGACGGATTCTGGGCCAATAGAATAATCTGACAACTTGTGCTGCTCATCTAGTACTTTGCCCTGAAACAACAAGGTCTGCTGATCCTCAGGGACCTTCAGTTCTTCTGAGACCAGGCTTTTCAACAGAGAGATGCTCTCGTGGCCGGATACTTGGAGGCAGCACTGCTGTCCTAACAGTCTCTTCACCTTGAGCTGCATGGCTTTGCTTGAAGGGCAAGAAAGATAATCCCTGGTCAAACAGAGGATAGTCAACCCTACAGGTGGGACACATAGAAAGGAATTGATTGGTTGGCTTTTTGCTGATGTCACAATTCTATCAGGGTCCAGTGTCTGATAAATATTCCCTCTGTCTGAATATTACCCATAGAACTAGTAATTAAAACATGGTCATCCCATTTTTGTTCTAATATTTTGGGGCACAGAGAAGACCCCTAATTCTACAAAAGTGTCTGAGATGTAGCCACCAGAAGCCCATGGTTGTCTGTGCTCCTAAACACTCCAAATTAAATGAAGAGTAAAGTAAGATTCCTGTGTTAACCACTTCCCCATAGCTGCCTGCTGCTTCCCCTGCTCATTATCCAATGATGTCTTATCCCTCTTAGCATTTGTTTCTTGTCTCTACTTCATGCTCAAAATGGTAATGTCAAGTTCTTTTGAATTGTGTGTGGGAAATATATGTAATAATGACATTATACAAATATTTCAGGTGAGGGCAAAAGCAGTTATTCAGAAGTGCCTGTATTCTAGTTTTTTGGAACTGCGCTCTATAACACTCTACAGCTCTTCCCTCCCCCCCCCCCCCCCCCCCCCCCCCCCCCCCCCGTTTCAGGAGCAATTTGAGAAACTGCAACTCACTTTTGGTGAGAGAGAATTGGCAATCTTCAAGGATATTGCCATGGGGATGCCCAGATGTTTTACCATCCTGTGAGAGGCTTCTCTCATGTCCCTGCATGAGAAACTGAAGCTGACAGATGGGAGCTCAACCCGCTACCTGGATTTGAAGCACCGGCCTTTCAGTCAGCAGTCCTGCTGGCACAAGGGTTTAACTCAGGCATGGGCAAACATTTTTGCTTTGTGGGTCTGACCTAGACAGCAGTGCTGGGAGGGAGAGGGCCTATGAGAGGGTGGGGCTGGGAGGGGCAGGGCCTGGGTCATCCTCAAGTTGTCCTCTTGGCATAAAGATGGGGCTGCTCGTCCCATCCTTTTGCTGGGAGGAAAACGAGACACACAGGAACTGTCCCAATCCTCCTTCCCTGATTTTCGGTTGTCCTCTCAGCATTATGTTGGGAGGAGGGCGAGACAGGTGACAGCCACGAGTGCTCCGGAGGGCTCTTAGCCACTGTGTGCTTTCCTCGGGCTGTCCTCTTGGCATAAGGATGGGGCCACTCACACTGTTCTTATGCCAAGAGGAGGGAGAGACATGCTCTGGCTGAGAGTGCTCCAGAGGTCTCTCAATTGCTGTGTGCCTTCCTCTCCTGTCCTTTCTGCATAAGGATGCACTAGGCCACTGTATCCTTATGTTGAGAGGACAGGGGAAATGAGGAGGGCCTGGAGTAAGCACCCACGGGGCCACATCCGGTCCCCAGGCCTTAGTTTGCCAATGCCTGGTTTAACCCATTGCACCACCGGGGCTCCACAGAAATATGATATAAGAAGTATGGAAGTATATTTTTGCAACTGGAGAGTTCTTCCAGATTGTGGTGCTAAAAATAGGTGTGCCATTTCTCATTTCAAAGCACAAAGGGACAATAGAGTCTCGTGCATATAGACAAGGGAATAGCTGTAACAAGGACCAAGATATGTTAGGTTCATTTTCCCATTTCTCGTGCTACAATTTTTCTGCTAAGGTTTATTTCAGAGGACTGTTTTATGCCTATACTAATGAATATTAGTAAGATTGCAATGGGCTAGTTCCTCCATTTATACTTTACAAAGCAAAGATACATATGTACAAACAATATAATACAGGTAGCACGAGAATTCATGGGGGCTAGATCAGCCATTAACCTGAAAAAACAAAGTGCTGACTGTTGTTTCCTTTAGTCAGCCATAGCAATGGAGGCTGGGATTTTCTTTTTCAAGTTTAACCAATGATAAATGTCCTGCAAAACAGCATTTTGGAGGTTTACTACACCATTGTTTTAAATGAGTTACCCTGAGTATAAATAAATGTAATTACAGAATCAAAGCATGAGGGTAGATAAGTGATTGCTGTAATTAGCGACTCAATTTGCCCACAGAAAAAATGTCTTGAAACTTGAGCATGTAGAGAATGTGGAGGAAAGTGTACTGCAGTCGGGAATGAAAATCCTTTCCCCACAAAAAACTAAGACACTGCAGTAGATTACATATTTCTCAATGATCCTTGGGAACACAAACCTAGTAATTGTGCAGGCATTCAATGTGTGAGTATATCGTTGAATGGACATATTTTTAAAGAATAGGTTGTTACTGGATAGAAGCTATATTCTCTAGAAAGTCATCAGGGCTCCTGTAGAAAAATGAGTCTGTTATAGTTATCTTTGTCATAATTTGACTGCAAAAGGATGAAAAAGTAAGCTGGTAGAAAAGTTAAAGAGAATATGCAGAAACCCCTGTCTCATGGGAAACATATTTTAGACTTTGCTTCATGCAAGGGTTTTTGGAGAGGGATGCTGTGCAAAATGCAGTTCCTCAGAGTCCCCTGGAGAGTCAACATTTGCCAACACCCACTTTTGATCAATTCTAGTAGTGAGTTCTGGGGGTCCTTCTCTTCAACTCTAAAGGGAGACAGATCTATCAGTTGAGACTGTCAACCTACAGGTTTATGACTTGTTGGGAAGAAGCATGGGAAAGATAACTAATCCAGCATTTCTCAACCGGGGGGGGGGGGGGTCCCGAGAGGGTTTCAGAGGGGTCGCCAAAAACCACCAGAAAACATATATTTCTGATGGTCTTAGGAACCCCTTTGGCAGAGAATGCTGAAGATCTCTCCGCCTGTCCTTCTCTTCCTTTTTGGAAACTGAATCCTCCCACCAAAATCCCTCCTCTGCTGCGATTGGCTGGCCTCTCAGCAAAGGGGAGGGCTGTTTCTGAGACTCCAAGTGGGGGGGGGAGGCAGGTGTACTCAGCGCATGGCAGCATGTACGAGTGAGGGAGAGCGTGTGAGGCTGAAGGGAGGCTCATGCCAGTGAGTCCCTTCAAGGCATAGGGATTCTGTGTGAGAAGTTTGATCCAATTCTATCTTTGGTGGGTTTCAGAATGCTCTTTGATTGTAGGTGAACTACAAATCCTAGCAACTACAACTCCCAAATGTCAAGGACTATTTTCCCCAAACTCCAAAACGCAAGGTCAATGCCAACCAAACCCTTCCAGTATTTTCTCATGGTTATGGGAATTCTGTGTGCCAAGTTTGGTTCAATACCATTGTTGGTGGAGTTCAGAATGCTCTTTTATTGTAAGTGAACTATAAATCCCAGCAACGACAACTCCCAAATGATCAAATCAATCCCCCCAACCCCACCAGTATTCAAATTTGTGCATATTTGGTATTTGTGCCAAATGTAGTCCAGTGAATGAAAATGCATCCTGCATATTAGATATTTATACTATGATTAATAACAAGCAAAATTAGTTATGAAGTAGCAACGAAAATAATTTTATGATTGGGGGTCACCCAACATTAGGAACTGTATTAAGGGATCGCCTCGTTAGGAAGGTTGAGAAATACTGAACTAATCCATATAGTTCAACAAGTACAAGGGAGTGAATGAAAACTTGGGACTGTTACAAATATGGTAAAGTGTGCTTGAGACAAATAGTCTTATTTTATCTCTAATATTGTGTATGTAGAGCTCTTCTTCTCTATGCTGTCCAGGAAAAGAAACTGGTTTGACTCATTTCAATGGCTCATCAAACTGGGGAAAAGCCAGAGAAAAAGCATGAACAGCCCAAAACAAAGAACGATCTGTGGACAATAATCTTCAAGAAGATCATCTACTGCTTATGTCAAGAGAATTACCTCAATGCCTTTACGTTTACTTGTCTTATTCTAGGAATTTCCTACTAATCTTCTTGACTCTCCAACTCACCAGCAGAAGGAAACAAAATCTGTAACACCCCAGATTTTGTAGAATCAGATCATTCATCTTCTTGTCAAAGGTCCCAACTTTCATCAGGTAAAAAGAGCCTGGATTTCTTTAAGTGCTCACAAATTTCAGGATTTATATAAAAACATATTACAGGATGTGCTTATGTATGCTAAGTTTTTACAAGGATCATTGCCTGTATGGGTGCGTGTTGAGGAAGAACACCTGGACAATTGAGCAATTAATCTTGAGCCACTCCCTGCATGGAGTATATCATGAGGAGTCTTGCCTAGTGTATTCAGAGTAGGAGACCAGATGGGACTTCTATACTATAGGACTTGCTGAAGATCCTGAACAATTTACTGCAAGACTCCTTGCGCCAATGAAGCAGAGACTGATAAACTGCAACAGGTTATGGGCCCAGTTTGCCCAATCTGACCAGCTTGCCCAGTTGGATATTTTTTCAGTTCCAGTTTTCTGAAGAAATTTTGTTTTGCATTGTGTGTTTTGTTGGCAAAACAAGAAGATGGATACTGGAATGAATTTTGCTTTCCCTATGGCCAGGTTAAATGGCAATAACTATTCCATTTGGAAAGTCAGAATGGAAAGTTATTTGAGGAGAGAATCCTTGTGGGAATGTACAGAGAACCCAGTGCAGCAGCCAGCTACAGCAGAGCAGCTGAGAGCTCTGGAAAGAGCAAGGTCTACTCTGATGTTAGGAGTTGACGATGACCAATTGGTTCATATAAGCAGCCTGCCAACTCCCAATGCAATTTGGGCGAGACTCACGAGAAATCCATGCTTCCAGTTCGGCAGCAACAGTGGCTGTGCTGGCAAGGCAACTTTACAGAAAGAGACTGGAGAAGAATGAAAGTCTAAAAGACCATTTGCAGATATTGCAGAGTTTGTTTTTGCAATTGTAGGAGAGAGACTTTCACCTCACAGAGCCGAACAAATGTTTTATTGTGCTGTCATCCATGGATGATTCGTTCGAGGGGATATTAAATTTTTTAGAATCACTCCCACAAGTATAATTAAACCTCCAATATATTTGTGCCAGACTTCTTGCTGATTGGGAAAGGCGGAGAGATCGTTGCCTGGAGACTGCAAACACAGCAGGGCGTTCTCAAGGAAAGCAGTCAGCCGGAGTTGCACTTGAGGAGACGGAGAAAGTTTGTGTGGTGAGAAGGTGCTTCAATTGTGGGTCTCCAAACCATTTAAAAAGGAATTGCCCAAAGCAGCAGAAGAAGCAAGGAGGGAAGAAGGTGAATCAGAGAAGGAGTTCCTCACATGTAAGCATTGTGAAGTCCCGGGGGAGTCCAGCAAATGAAGACATATTTTATGTGGACTCTGGATGTTCACAGCATATAGTGAACAACAGAAGTTTAATTTGTAACCCTGTGAATCCTAAATGTTCAAATGTTACCCTTGCAGACGGAAAACAGTACAAAGTACAGGAGCAAGGGGAAGTTTATGTTAAGTATTTTGATAGAACATTAAGAAATGTATTTTTTAGTTCCAGAGATTGATTATAATTTATTGTCATTTGGAAAACTGGATAAAGAAGGTTATGAAGTTAATTTTTCTGGAGGAAAAGTCAGGATTTTGAAAAGGAATAAGTTATGTGGAACTGGTGTATTACAGGGGGATTTGTATGTGTTGAA